GGTTCCTGTGATTTCACCCAGAGCAGCTCCAGTGGAGTGAAGGCAGACTTCAAAGGAGACTTCCAGAGAGGTTTAGGTTCTGCCTCGTTCTGTGTGGAAGTGGAGGGCGCTCAATGGGCTCCAGAAGAGGCATTTGTATTCTAGAACTCTCCATTCCTCCTGTTCCTTAAAGAGCAGCAGGTTTTATGCGACATTCATAGGGTCTCCCAGTGGGTGAACCACTTCCGGCCTCCCTCGGATGACTCCGTCTCCATGCCCATCTCTGGCTTCCATTCCTCTTGTCCATCAGAGATCCTCTCATCCTCCTTGCCCTGCCACTGCCATCAGGGTTACCCCCAGGCTATAAAGCCAGTCTCCCCTCATGTTCATCTCCCCAAACTCGCAAGAGTTGACCTTGCCTGCTATCTCACAGGGGAACAGAGCCACACCCATGCTGTATCCCCAACTCTAGGTGACGGAGCTCTTCAAGTGGCCCTTCCCTGAGGTCTCTTCCTAGAGAAGACATCTGGTGCAGGGACATTCCTGGGTACCATCAGGTACCGCCTTGCCTGTGCTGGCCAGGCCGGCCAGCCATCTTGTGCACCCTTGGCTGGTCTCCAACAAACACACTCAAGCAACTTGCCAGGGAAGGGTCTCTTATTTATTTGTTGGTCCTGGGCCTTGAATTCAGGGCCTGGGCTCTGTCCCTGAGCCTTTCTGTGCTCAGGGACAGCGCACACTTGAGCCACAGCACCATTTCCAGGGTTTCATGCATACTAGGCAAGCACTCTACTACTAAGTCATATTCCCAGCCCCTGAAAAGGTTCTTTTTGACACTATAACTCCTCTAGCTGTCTGCACCTCCCTTTCCTTACAGAATAAAACCTTGAAGATTCTTCTGTCCTCTTTCTAACCCTTACTCACTCCTCAGCCCAACATCACTGCCTTCTGTCCCTGCTCCACATCTTATCCTTATCCTACTGGCTTCTGCTGCCATGATGTAGAAGTCCCTACCACCCACCAGGTCCCCTGTCATGGTGTTAAAGGTATGCTCAGCCCTCTGGATAAAAAGGGTATGTTCAACACTCAATCCTGCTGGTATTACTTCCCAGGTCCACAAACCCAGCTCCAAAAACTGAGCCTCTGTTTTCTCATCTGTCCAATGGGGATAGTAACGGTGCTGTCTCAAAGGTCCATTATGAGGATTAGGCCAGTGAACTCAAGTAAGGAACTTCATTCACACATAGCATAATACATTAGCTGTGAGAGCTCTTGCCTCCGTCCATTTCTCTCCATCTCTACCGAAGTCCAAGTAGCCCTGCCTCCTCGACACCTCTGGTTCAGAGGACCCCTCTTGGCCTCATCACTGGCTATCCTTTGAGCTCTGTGGGGATCTCTAGGAATCCCATACCACACCACACCTTCCCTGGTTGGAAACTCCATGAGTTTCTTTTAGCATGGACCCTCACCTTTTTCCTGTAATAAACTTTATCTATTTAAAAATTATTATAACAAGCCAGGTGCCAGTGGCTCATGCCTGTAATCCTAGCTACTCAGGAGGCTGAGATCTGAGGATCGTGGTTTGAAACCAGCCCAGGCAGGAAAGTACATGAGACTCTGATTTCCAATTAACTACCAGAAAATTGGAAGTGACACTGTGGCTCAAGTGTTAGAGCACTAGCCTTAAGCTAAAGAGCTCAGGGACAACACCCAGGCCCAGAGGTCAAGCCCCAAAACCGACAAAAAAAGATGTCATTATAACAAGTACTTAGAAACTGATTTTGCTTAAAAGCACCAATTCCTGGGGTACATAGGTTGACTAGAGTAAGTATAAAAAGCTCTGCCTCCCTGCCGCCATCTTACATCTATCTTTGCTCTGAAACATCACTTTGGAGTCACCTTGGAATCCAGGAAGATTGGTATGGATGGATGGACAAACACCTTTTAACAAAAGTAAAAACTACCCTCAGGCATAAGGTCTTTCTTATCACGAGTAGGGGCCACCTGGGCAGGCCGGAGATGAAGATCAACTCAGTTAAATTGTAGACAGGTCCTCACTAAATTGCCCAGGGTGGTCTTAAATTCCTAGGCTCAAATGATTCTCTCATCTCAATCCCGAAGACTATAGGTTTGAGCCAGTATATCCAGGCTTGTAATTATTTTTGCAAGTGACAAATACTAGGAATGCCAACATCTCTCATAGTACTGCTCAGGATTTTTCATTCCAACAGCTCAACATAAAATCAGGAGTTTTAATGAAAGAAAAAAGCATACAAGCTGGGCACTACTCAGAACCAGACCAGGCAGGAAAGTCAATGAGCCTCTTATTTCCAATAAACTACTCAGAAAAAAGCCAGAAGTCATGCTGTGAGTCAAGTGGTAGAACACTAGCCTTGAACACAAAGAAGCTCAGGGACAGTGCCTAGATTTTGAGGTCAAGCCCCAGGACTGGCCAAAAAAAAAAACCCCAAAACACACAAGAATGGTAAGTCTTGCCATATGCGGGTGACTCCTGTCTCTCTAAATCTAGCTACATCAGGAGGCTGAGATCTGAGGATCATGATTCAAAGGCAGCCCAGACCTTTAGAAAAGACCCCAGGAGAGTCTTACCTCCAACTAACCACTCAAAAGCCAGAAGTAGCACTGTGGCTCAAAGTGGTAGAATTTCTTTTTGTTTTGTTTTTTTGTTTTGGATCCGAGCCTGGGCACTGCCCCTGAGATCTTTTGCTCAAGGCTAGCACTCTACCACTTGAGCCATAGTGCCACTTTCGACTTTTTCTGAGTAGTTTACTGGAGATAAGAGTCTCCTGGACTTTCCTGCCAGGGCTGATTTCAAATAGCAATCCTCAGATCTTAGCCTCCTGAATAGCTAGGATTACAGGCATGAGCCACTACAGCACAACTGAGTTTTTAAATTCTTTCAAAAAACCCAATTACATTTTTAAAAAAAACAGAAGAATAAGGGTCCCCAAAACTTTTACACAGAACACAAAATCAGAATGGATTTTGCAGATCACCCAAAAATCTTGTCCACATAAATTTATTTATTTAGGTGACAATCCTAGGGCTTGAATTCAAGGCCTGTGTACTGTCTCTGAGCTTTTTTTTTTCTTTTTCTCAAAGCTAGCATTTCTACCACTTGAACCACAGATCCATTTCCACCTTTTTGGTGCTTAATGGGAGTTAAAAGTCTCACAGACTTTCCTGACTAGGCTGGCTCTGAACCATGATCCTCAGATCTCAGCCTCCAGAGTAGCTAAAAGTATAGATGTGAACACCAGTGCCCAGGCACAGGAAATTTTTTGAGCTGGAAAGCCTGGACTGCGATTCAGAGGGCCACACTTTGAAGGATCCTACAAGTGGGCATTAGCACTGCAAGACTACTGGAAGAGAGCAGAGTTTTCACTCTGCATCTCCATGACTGAGTTCTTAAGGGAGGCCCCATGCCCACTTTATTCCTGGTGCCTGCACACACCAAGTGTCTAGTGGAAGTTTGTGAAACTGATCGTGCTTCCTGGGAGTACTCAGGTTGGTCCTAAAACTCCTACATGTTCTCCTGTGGGTTCTCTTTGGTTCTGGAGGAGGCTCTGGTCATCCTCGGGTACCCTCTGGTGCACGGTTTGACTCCTAGCTGAGCTGGAAAGGTATTGACAATGACTGTTATTCCCCTAGCAATACCTGTGTCACAGCCTCTTGCTTTACACCTGCCTCCCTTATCTTTGTCTTCACATCTGCTCCTTCCACCATGCCTGAAGCACTCAAATTCCTCTGCTGCAGCATAATCTGCTCATCTCCCAACACTGATCACATCAGAGCACACCCCAACCCAAACGCTGGCCTCTTCGTCCTGCTTGCTTTCCCCATCAGCTCGAAGAACTTTTCTTCCATGCTCGTCACAGTCATCCTTTACTCAAACCCCCATGCCTCTGGCCTCTCCCAGGGAGACCACTTTTTCCTTCAGGGGCTGTCCCTTGGGCCCTCACCCTCTTTGTGTGCCCACTTCCTCTCTGGCTGTGGCTTCTCAGGTCCTTTGTAGATTCCCCTATAGCTTGTGCCCATTGCTGGCCATCTCTGAAGACTCTTTCCTGGGCCCCACACTCACTGCCTGCATGGTACAGAACAGAGTGGCATCTGGATCCTAGCAATGCAGCTTTCTCCTTTCCATCACTGCCCCCAGTGATGGTCCAGTCTTCAATCACAGCATTGCCCTCTTCGCTTCCCTTGAGCACCCATCCCTCATCCTTTGCTAATTCCATCTCCTAAGCCTTCTAGGCCAGGCCCCTCCTGCAGCAACTGGTAACACTGCCTCAGTGGCCATCTTGAGCTCAACAATCTGTGCAACCAGAGGGACACCTGGGTCCTTCGGCAAGGTCTCCAGCAGGGATAAAGCCCCCCACAATGCAGGGCACAGATTGTGCTTCTATCAGACCAATGAAAGAATGAGATCCTGGGGGCTGAGCTCCATCTACCACCCACCAGGAACAGGGTTAAGGAGTTTTCCAGAACTCAAGGGGCAAACCACTAAGGCTACATACCAGTAACCCAGTATCAGAAGGGGTATGGGACATGTACTCCGTGAGGGTGACCCCACAGGTGGATAGTTGGCTGTGAGACAGGCTGCCAGACAAACCCTAGTCTGTTTCAGTAAGCTTCCACTTGGTCATCCACCACACCAGGCAGCACCAGGCAAGACAGGCAGTCTGGGTAAGGTCTTGTGAAGCAAGTAGTCGAGGCCAGCTCAGACCCAGCCTGTCTTACCTGTCAGGAGGTCTTCCTCAAGATCCCCTTTCCCCATTTTGCTGATCTTGAGTACCAGAAAGTGATAACTGTGATAAAGTGTGGTTTTTCTATGGAGGTTCCATGCCAGATAAAGATCCTTCTGATGCCCTCCCCCTCCCTCGTCTCCTCCCCTTTCTGCCCCATCCCACCTCTTCTTCCCACTTCGGTCTTGGGTTTGGGACTTATATAAGGCAGGGGCTGTGGTGGACTCTTCAGAAGACGAAGGACAAGGACAAGGCAGAATGCAGCCTACACGCCCCAACTCGAGCAGCCTCCAGATTCTGCTCTTGCTACTGTTCCTGTTCCGTTCTGGGTTCCAAGCTCCCACCACGCTTCAAGATACCACCCAGCCACCTTCCAACTCAAAACCCGTGAATTGTAGCTTGTTTGTCATTGAACTTGAATACCTGCTAGATAACAAATTTACAGAAGTGAGTAGCAGGAACAAGGCTGGGCTGGGGGAGGGAGGGATGCGGGGGGTTACTCCTAGCCTACAGCTCTTACAACTCTTTCTTTCTTGGTGTTCCTACAACAGCCCATCATCAGCGAATTCGAGTTACAACTGATGGTAAGAACTCAGCTCCCTACTTGGGCACACCTGGGTGCCAATTATTTGCCTCCCATTTGGTGATGTCAGTCTTGTTACTCCACCTTACCTAGCCTCCATATATTTTTTTTATCTGTTAAAAATTGTCTATCTCGGTGGGCTTGCTACGAGAATTGATGCAAAGTGCCTAGTGGGCCCATATCTGTACATGGTCCCAGCCATGGCTGTAAATAATGAAAGCTGGTTTTCAGGTTGTTAAATGAAAAGGCAGCTAGCTGTAGAGGCTGAATTTTTGGTGGGACATTCCCTGAGCTGGCAGACTAGAATTTTCCCTGCTGCCTTCCTTTCCCTTTAACAAAAAGGAGTGTTTTCCGTTCTCATTTGCACTTATTTTTTTGTGGTTCTAGTCAGTTGCCATAGCTCTGTCTTGCCTTTGTCTGATGGACATAGGTGGTGTCAAACAGGAAGCTGAGGTGTTTCCCGAGTTTACTGGCCATCTGCATTCTCTTCATTGGAGATGCTTGCAGCTCACATGCTGTACCCATCCCCACGCTGAAGTGCTTGTGATTTTCTTCCTGATTTCTGGGAACTCTTAGTTCAGTTGAGGCATGCACCTTGACATCTGGCTTCATAGCCACAAGTATTTCTCTGGGGCAACTCTGCCTTTTCCACAGATGCTTTTGGGAGATGTATTTTTCTCAAGTACAGAAAGATCCAACTAGGTCCTTTATGCAGCTCATATGCATGGAGCCAGGAGCTGAGGCTTTGTACTTAGGGAGAAACAGGTCCTAACAGAGTGTATATTCACTTCTAGGCTCGCGCCTTGTGGCACAGTTTAGGAACTTACCTGGGGTAAAGAGGGAATGAGGAGCAGGTTATCCAAAGATGCCCCTAACAGCAGGCTCAGAACACTGAGGATGAGCAGCGTGGCCATGGGAACAGCACTCTCCAACTCCCCAGCTCTTATGTGGTTTCTTTGTCCTTTTAGGATACATCCCTGCTAAAGCCCAACCTGTGTGCATTCCTGGAAGCTGCAAAAACATTGAACGATGTCACGAACATAAAGATCAGGAAAAATCTTGAGGTATGTGAAGCTGTGGAGGATTTTGGGAACCCCTGCCTTGGCCCTTCCCATACTCTGCAGAGGAAGGTTAGCAGGGCTTGCTTCTTGAAGAAACTTTCTGACTGTCTTGCTTTGATCTCTTCCCACAGATACTTCGACAGTGCCTGCCTGAACCCACCCCCCTTCTGATGGTAAGATGTTCCTCTAGATGCCCCCGCAGGTGGTCCCTCACCCATAACCCCCATCATCACCCTCGACAGCCAGAATTCTTCTAACACTATTTTTCTGGCTCTTCACAGGGAGGACCCATTTTCATCACCGAAGATGACCCCAATGATTTCCGGAAGAAACTGAAAAGCTTTGTGAGAGTCCTTTCTCAACTGACGGAGGAGACTCTGAGATTTAGAAACTCCTCTGTGACACCCACCGCTGTCCCTGGGTCTTCTCACCATGAGTTGGGGAATGTTGAAAACGCAGCAATGGAAGTTTTTGGGTGTCTTTCACACAGTCCAGGACCAGAAGAGTATTATTAGTTGTCTCCTGTGATGTCAGATGAATCATTAATTTATCATTAATTTATTTCTGAAATGCAGAGCTTCCTTTTGGTCTTCTATAATGATGTTCTCATTTTTACTCCAGCAAGGCCGTTTATTTATCTATTTATCTATTTATTATCTTCTGCAATGTGCAGTTTATTTATTTTTGCAGAGGAGTCACATCTTGCTTCTTCTGAAAAAAAAAATTCCAAGGGAGCCTGAGGGAGGGGAGTGCTCATTTGTTCTTCATGTTTCTAGATATGAGTGAAAATAAACCAGATTTTGAACAAAATGCTTGGTTCTGAGTGTCTTGATTTGGCGCAGGTCCTGTTGACCGTTCTAGATGGCTTTTATTACTGACCATTCTAGATGGTTTGTGTGCTGTCAGTACACTGAGCTGCAGTGTGGATGTGTCCAGGTGAGCTAGTCCCACAAGTCCCTACAGCCACCCCATGCTCAGAGCAATCACAGGTAGCCACAGAGCTCTTACCATAACTCAGGCATTACTCTAAGCATTTTACTTGTACTGGCTTTAACTTATTTCTCATCCCAGCTGAGAGCATGTTATTTCTGTTTTATGAGAATAGCTGCATGGTTAAGCAACTTTCCTAAGTACAACAGCTTGAAAACTATACTGGTAGGATTTGATTCAGGCTAGGTCCTTGAGCATTTAAATCTTGTGAAATGCTTCCCCAAGTGGTCACTTTAGAAGTTGCAATAGTACCACAAGTCCTAGCAGCAAACAAGCCCTGCCTGAACAGCCAGCTCTCTGGATAATAGGCCATCCAGATCCAGGGACCCCACCCCAGCCTGGGCCCCCTGCTCTCTGGCCTGATAATTTGGCAGCCCTAGTAGACCATCTTGCTGCAAAGACTTGATGGTAGAACACAAATCCTGGCAAACTGTAGTCTACTGGGGAGGGAGCCAGACTGCACTTTAAAAACTGCAACTCTAAAAAAAAAAAAAAAAAGGCTGGAAAGGTGGCTCTGGGATAGAGCGCTTGCCTTGCATGCATGAGGCCCTGGGTTGGATTCCTCAACACCACATAAGCAAAAAGAAAAAATCCAGAAGTGGCGCTGTGGCTCAAGTGGTAGAGTGCTAACCTTGAGCTGAAGAGCTGAGGGACAGTGCCCAGACCCAGAGCTCAGGCCCCACGACCGGACCCAAAAAAAAACAAAACTGCAACTCTTACTATATTGGTTTGATATTTAGTTCCTCGATCCTTAGCTTATTCTGGGCTCTGTCTACAGGTCTATATCCTCAGAACCTATCTCTTATCTGTGGACTCCATTTCCGCCCATGGCTTTCAGCTTCATTAATGGTCCAGCCAATAGAAGTGCTATGTGTGGTCTCTTAACTACGCAGCTTTGTCCATATCTCTAAACCCTTCACTCACCTTCAGCTCAGGAAGGCAAACCTCCTTCTAGATCCATAAGATGAGATCTTACTTTATAGAGACCTACCTCTGAATTGTTCACACTGACTACAGCAAGGACAGGCAAATATGAACTAGCCTGGATAGCTGGTGTTTGGATACCACTAAGCATGGCTCAGTTGCTGCCTGACCTTTTGACCATGTGTTCCTTCCTGTATGGAATCAATGTACCCTACCTGGAGCACCTCCTACGGGGCAGAGTGAGTCTTCCTGATGCTGGGGTGCATGCAATACTATCCTCCCTGACTCTTCATGAGTCCCACAAAGGACTGGGGTACTGATACCAAGACACTGGGGAACTGATCCTCCTTTTGTCCACTTTTGTATCTTGATCCATTCTTCCCCTGGATTTGTAAGTAAGGAACTAACTGGTTGGCTTGAGTGGAATAGGAGGTAAGAGATTTACTGGGATGTTCCCAAGAAGGAATTCTCTTTTCTCCTTGTCCCCTCTCTCCTCATCCTAGCCCATTGTAGTTAGGGGAGGGGTAGGAGAGAGAAGGGGGCAGACAGGACATCCCCAGGGAATATTTATTGTTAAACATGATCCCTGGAGGAATTGAAGATGTACTGCAGTTTCTAGAAGTACCACGAGGTGGAGCGCCTTCCCTGGTCTGTGGTTGTACCAATTCTGAAGAGAGCAATGCTGAGAGAAGCTGAACTCTAAGACAGGGTTTTCCAAGCTGAATTCCCCCCTTCCCTCCCCATCCCACCTACTCCCTCCCTCCCTGCGCCTCCCAGCTGGTACTACTTTCATCCTGGCTGAGGCAGCATTTAGGTACCACTCCACGTTCCCATGATGAGTCACTGCTTGTCACTCTTCACTGGAGAGAGGGGTCAGAGCAATTGTAGTCTTTCTGCCTTAAGCCCTGGGACCCAAAAGCCAGTGGTGAGCTGGGACCAGTGCATACTGACTCACAGAGCCAACTGTTAAAAAAAAAAAGGCCAACCAGTTATCAGTAGCTTGCCATTGGTCCTGGTGGGAGTAATTACATAACAGAAATCACAAAGCCTCTTTCCCTGGGAGTCTGTTCATCTACCTGATATAAAGTATGGACAGGTAATCAAGTATTGTACTGTTTTGCTGTTGCCTGGAAATCTACCCCCCTTTTTTTTTTGCTGGTCCTGGGGCTTGAACTCAGGGCCTGGGGCACTGTCCTTGAGCTTCTCTGTGCTCAAGGCTAGCACTTCACCACTTGAGCCATAGCACCAATTCCAGCTTTTTTCTGTTAATGTGGTACTGAGGAATCAAACTCAGGGCTTCATGCATGCTAGACAAGCACTCTACCACTAAGCCACATTCCCAGCCTGGCAATTCCCTTCTTAAAGGACCCTATATTAAAACTCATAGTCCTTGGTCTTGGAACCACATTCTTCTCACTGCAGGCTGCATGGAGCTAAATATTCCCTCCAATGCCTTGTGCTCAGTCAATGCACTGGCTGAGTGCCTATGTGACAGGCCCTCTATTGGACACTAGGGGTACAGCAGCAAATGGACAGGTGGGGGTGGAGTCTGTAGGTTGCTATTTTATTTGTTTATTTGCTGTACTTGGAACTGAACCCAGAGCTGTACACGTGCTGGACAAGTGCTCTACGACTTAAGCTATGCCTCCAGCCCTGGGAGGCATAGCTTATATAGGGCTATCTGGGAAAGTGTCTGGAGGAAGTGTCATGTAGGCTGAGACCTGATTAAGAAACTGCCCAGACATGTGACAATTACAAGTGTTAGGTCTCCGAACAGAAGGAATAACAGAGACTGAACCTGGCTGAGAGTATCCATGCAACAAGAGATCTATGATGGGAATGAAGTCTGGTAGAAAGCTTACCACTCTCCTTCAGTCTCTCTCCCCTCTATTCCCTATCCTGGCCATGGAAGGCTGCTAAGCAATGTGTTAGGCAGCTGATGCCTGCAGTTGGCAGGGGTAGAGGTGGGATCAGACACAAACCCAGTGCAGGGAGAGGAACCCGTATAAAGCAAGGTCATATAGACAAGAGCTATGGTAGAAGAGGGAGTATGGGTGGAAGTACCACTCTGAGATGGGAGAGATGATCTCCTGTCTTCAGATATTCTGGTGGCTCATCATTGTCCTCTGGTATTGTTTATTCTGCATTCTAGAGCCAGGCTGGGGTTAGGGATGACCTGGCCAGGTCCACTCAGGCTTACCCTTGACCTCAACCCTCAGACCCTGCTGAGGGCACCAACACAGCTCTGGACTGGAGCCCAAAACCACTTAGTGGTCAGTTCCTGGTCAGGTTGAGGAAATTTCTACATTCTGTAGACTGAAGCTGAGTGTTTATATCCTCTGAGAGGCCTATGTTGAAACCTAATCTCCAAGGCAATGGTATTTGAAGGCAGGGCTTTGGGGTAGTGCTTAAGCATGAGAGCAGAGCCCTCTCAAATGAGATTTAATGTTCCTAAAAAAGGGGGGGACCCTGATCCAGTGGTTCATGATTGTAATTCTAATTACTCGGGCTCATATCTAAATGATATCCAAAGGGTCATGGTTCAAAGCCAGTCTGGGAAAAAGCTAGCCTATCTCTTCTCCAATCCTATGCCCTGTTTTCTGCACTATCTATAAGGTCAATTAATCTAGTTGGCACCAGGGGGCAGCAATGCTTCATCGTGAATCCTAGGATGTCTTCAAGGCCGGCATGCCTACCTCCCACACCTAAGTAGATTATACCAGTCTACTAGAATTTTCTTTTTTCTTATTTATGCATTTATTTTTGTACTGGTCTTGGGGCTTCAGATTTTTGGGGCTCCAGGATAGCACTCTACCACTTGAGCCACAGCCCCACTTCAGCCTTTTTGGTGGTTTACTGGAGATGGTCGAACAGACTTTCCCACTGAGACTGACTTTGAACCACAATCCTCAGATCTCAGCCTCCTGGGTAGCTAGGATTATGGGCACCTGGCTTCTTTTTAAATTTAAAAATAGAATGTTTCACTGTGATGGCAAGTTGGTAGAATATTTATCTTCCCACTAAGGTCTTTGGAGATGCACAAATGGAACAAGGAGAAAATCGCCAGAGTGGCAAATATCTGGGGAAGGCAGCATCAGAGAGGCTGTGCTAAACGCACCCCATCCTGGCCTCCAGCCCCATTTGAAGCAGTGGAACAAACCCCAAGAACTTCTATGCTTCCCCATGCTGAGGCTAGGGCCTTTTACTGTGCTGAGTTGGTTGGCACAGCATAGAGGATTCTTTAGACTAAATGGGTGATGGGTGAGTATGGATCTTGTCAGAGGTGCTTCCTATCAAGAGCAATGGACAGGGCTCTTGGGAGAAGAGTTTTAGTCTATTGGGCTTGAGTAACCTAGTAGGGTTGGGTGCCAAGTGACCAAAATAGTGGAAGGGCCCATCCATGTGGGTCTTAGACCCCTTGTGGGTCTCAGCTGGTCCTTCTTTTCTCGATTCTTCCTTCCCTTACCCAGGCTATCCAAGTCTGCATGATCTCCTGAATGACTATGGGGGAGGGGGCAGGGGAGTGAAGGGTACACACAAGGAAACCGGTTAGGATTGGGCCATGATAGATGCTGTGTTTTCTCATCTTCTTTTTATCTTTCGACATCTATTGGGAATTGAACTCAGGGCCTTGCAATTGCAGAGCAGGTGCTTTACTATTTCAACTGCATTTCCAGGTCCTTTTTTTCTTTGTTATCTCTGAAGAAGGGACTTGTTCCATGCCAGAGGTGGCTTGGGCTTTGATCCTCCTATTTATGCTTTCCCCTATCACTAGGGGAAAGCCACAGAGTGTCTGCCTAGCAAGCAGGAAGTCCTGAGTTCCAACCCTAGTTCTGCCAAAAAAAAATAAAAACTGAAAAAAAAAAAC